ACTATCATTCCAGTGAAAGTCTACCTGTCATGGCCTTGACGAGGCCGTACAGCAGCGGTGCCAGCGTCAAACTCAGCGTATAAATTACACACGGAAGCAGCACGACGAGCTCATGGCCGCGCGCTGACGTGGGTACCATGCACTCCTCAAGGTACCAGTAGACTTGCAGCAGCCAGGCCGAGTTGCCCATAAAGTACGTGAGCAGTGGTCCATAGATCGTGACGGCGAGTGCGACCATGGTCGGATCCACCTCACAAAAGACGTGCTCTTGTCGATAGCGCTTGAGAATCGCCGACATGACGGACAAACCAAAGTAGGCGAGCCAGACCTACGTGGCGAGTGAGTCAAAGGCGCTGCGAGTTCGAGTACCGCGCGGGACAGGTACAGGAACGCGACAAAGAGCTCGAGAAGATCGTCGTTCTGGGAGCCGCGGAGCACAGCGAACGAGAGCGTATCAAAGCTCGCCCAGACGTCGACAAAGAAGGCGAGCGCAACCCACGGGTTGGAGAGAACGACAGCCGTCGGGTCCCCAATCGAAATCGCATACGAGTACGCGCCAGCGCGGAGCTCGTGGGCGTGCCCAAGACGCGCCAATTGACGGCGAAGCGCGATGCAGTGCTTGTAGTAGCGGCGCCAAAGCAGTAGCACGATGCCTACTGTGGTGCAGACGCGGTACACAAACTTGGTCCAGTTCAGCACGGGGTACGGCGCCGTCGCCATGACAAAGGTCAGCGTATAGACTTCATTGTCTCGACTTGACCGCGCGATGGCATCGCCGGCCGTGAGCCAAATGCAATGGTAGCCGAGGACAAGCCCTGGCGCTGACGTCATCATGCACGACCCTCGATGATGCCAGCGCTCGGAGTTTATGGTCGTGTCATTCGCAGCAGCAAACGCACAGAGCAAGTCCCGGATCGAGCTGCCATAGTAGATACTACCAGGCTTTCCAACGAGAAAGTCCGAGATGCAGCGGGCTTCTGGAATGGATGGGCCGAGTCGAAGGAGCTGGCGCAGCACTTGGGCACCTTCATTGGCGTCGGCAAAGTTGACGGCGCCGGCGGGAAGCGTTGCGGAGTTGTACCTTGCTTGCAAGTTGAGGAGCGTTGTCGCATTAAAGCTGCGGAACGACCCATACGATGCAAAGGGCGTCACGGACGTCCACGGAAAGGCTTCCGAGATGTACGCCTTCATGGGCTACGTACGCCGTCCCAAACAAGTCCATGCAAGTGCATAGACAGAGAAGCATACCATCGCAATTAGGTTGAGCAGCATGGTAAGACTGACGAGCATCGGCAAGACACTCCATCGCACGCGGTGGCGCAGATTCCCTCGGCCCGACGACCCAAGGCGTCCGAGGATCACGGCTTTTGGCAAAAGATGAAGCATTCCAATTTGAACCGGTCGCAACGGCGACCAACATACCGGTAACGGCCGTCAAAGCCATTCGTGCATTGCCGGTCACGAGCTTAAACCGAGTGCAGTCGACCGACGCGGTTGTACAAGAACTCGTCTCATTCTTCAGCGAATCAAGAGAACGTCCACGGCCCTCAACACGATGTTGAGCAACGGTGTGGATGACACGCCAATCCTCTCCTCAATGCGGTCACGGGTTGACGGGTTACACCGGGAGAGGACACGCGGTGCCACGGTCGTTCGTTCGTCCGAGCGACGTGCGCCCTGCTGCTGCAACAGTGGCCGTTCGGGCACCCGGAGAGTCCCATTATCAAAGTCTCACCATCGTCATCGAACGCAGCGGAGCAGTCACGTAACCGACTGGTAACCGCCTGTCTCGTCTACTGGATGTCGTTGAAGTGGCCATCGGAGTGTGGCCCAGCTCGAGAGCAACTGCCCCTCCGCGATGCACCCCAAGGCCTCAAAGTTGTATTCCTCGCGATCACCACCAAGGGTGCAATTGCTGGACGAAACCATTATACTTGAACAAGCGCAAACCGTGTCAGGTATGTACGTATACAAAAGGACATGCATGGCCAAACGACGAAACGCTACGCGGCCAGACGCACCAATGGGTTTCGAAAGGACGATCCCTCGCGCACCGTCGTCGACGGTAGCGCCCGCAACGCGT